GTCCCTAGTGAGCCTATACTAGACTAGCTCGTTGATCAAAGATGATTAAGGTTTCCTAACCATGGACATGAGTTGTTATTTGATAACGGGATCACATCATTAGGATAATGATGTGATGGACAAGACCCATCCATTAGCTTAGCATAATGATCGTTCAGTTCTATTGTTATTGCTTTCTTCATATCAAATACATATTCCTTTGACTATGGGATTATACAACTCCCGGATACCGGAGGAATACCTTGTGTGCTATCAAACGTCACAACGTAACTAGGTGATTATAAAGATGCTTTACAGGTATCTCCGAAGGTGTTTGTTGAGTTGGCATAGATCGAGATTAGGATTTGTTACTCCGAGTATCGGAGAGGTATCTCTGGGCCCTTAAGGTAATACACATCATAAGCTTGCAAGCAGACGACTAAGGAGTTGGTCACGAGGTGATGTATTACGGAACGCGTATAGAGACTTGCCGGTAACGAGATTGAACTAGGTATGAATATACCGACGATCGAATCTCGGGCAAGTAACATACCGATGGACAAAGGGAATTAGGTGTCTTTTCATAACGGTTCGACCGATAAGGATCTTCATGGAATATGTAGGAGCCAATATGGGCATCCAGGTTTTGCTATTGGTTATTGACCGAAGAGTTGTCTCGGTCATGTCTACATAATTCTCGAACGCGTAGGGTCCGCACGCTTAACATTCGATGACGATTTAGTATTAAATGAGTTATGTGATTTGGTGACCGAATATTGTTCGGAGTCCCGGATGATATCACGGACATGACAAGGAGTCTCGAAATGGTCGACTGGTAAATATTGATATATAGGATAGTATTCGGACACCGAAAGTGTTTCATGGGGTATCAGGTACTTATCGGGTCACCGGAAGGGGTTCCGAGCACCCCCGACAAAAGATATGGGCCTTATGGGCCAAGAGAGGAAACACACCAGCCACAAGGGGCTGGTGCGTCCCTCATATGGGCCGGCCTAAGGAGGGGAAGGAAAGGGGAGAAGGGAAAGGAAATTGTGGATTAGGATTCCCACTTCATTTCCTCTCCCCCCTCTTTCCTCCCCCCTCGGTTATATATGGCAGGGAGGGCGCGCGGCTTGGGAGGGACTCCAAGTAGGATTCCTCCTACTTGGGCGCCTCCTATGGCTGCTCCTCCCTCCCTCCTACCTATATATATGTGGGGGCGCCCTAGCACACACCAGATAATTGCCTAGTCGTGTGCGGCGCCCCCTCTACTGTTTACGCCCTCTGTCATAATTTTGTAGTGCTTAGGCGAAGCCCTTCGGAGATCATTTCACCGTCACCGTCACCATGCCGTCATGCTGACGAAACTCGTCTACTACCTTGACGTCTTGCTGGATTAGAAGGCGCGGGACGTCACCGAGCTGAAGTGTGTAGAACGCGGAGGTGCCGTGTGTTTGGTACTTGATAGGTTGAAGCGCGAAGAAGTTCGACTACATCAACCGCGTTGAGAAACGCTTTTGCTTACGGTCTACGAGGGTACATAGACACACACTCTCCCCCTCGTTGCTATGCATCTCCATGGATAGATCATTGCGTGTGCGTAGATTTTTTTTTTGTTTTCCATGCAATGATTCCCAACACCCCGACCTGCCCGCCGCCGCTGCATCGCTCCTTTGGGTTATAGTGTCGCGGCCCGCGGTCCACTCCGCCATCACCGCGCGTCGACTTTTTGTGGTAAGCGCCGTGCTGCCTTCCCTGGCGAGGGAACGCCACCATCCGCGCCGGTCTTCGTCACACTGTCGAGTTCCTCGCCCTACCTCGAGCACCGCCATCACGCTACTAACCTAGCCGTCGCCGCCACTACCTCCGTAGCCGCCGCCGCCCGTCCACCCCCTTCGTCTTCGTCCAAGCACCAGCCCGTCGCCAGCGTCGCCGTCATCTACTCTGACCACTTTGTCTACTCCGCCTACCTTGGTGACATCGGCCCTGCGCCGTTGGACACTGCAATCATCATCGAGTTCTTCTTTGTTAGCCCCTCCGACTTCTCCGACATGGCGTATAGCTCGTACAGGTCCCTCGTCTACGCATGCCTGGTGCTGGCAACACCGATGCGTGCCTTCGTCCACGACGTGTCCCCGGGACTGGCAAGGCTGATGCGGCGCTTCGTCAACTTCGTCTTCATCCGTCTATGCATGCTCGGTGCTGGCAACACCGATGCGTGCCTTCATCTACGACGTGACGCGTCGTTAACACCGTCTTCTTCATGATGCATCACTACTTCGACAACACTGCGCCCATGACTAACTCGGCGCCTCCTTGCGCCCGCAGCTCCACGGTGAATTCCTCGACACCAGCCACCCCGACTCGACATCGACCACGACATTCTTCTCACGGCCACCTCGACCACGGCTCCACCACCTACGCTCTCGGCTACTCCGACAAACGGCACAAAGGGCTACCGCCTTGCTTGAGCAACCTCGTCGGTTGCCACTCCAGCCACGACTTCCGTGATGCATCGACCGTTACGACTGTGGGGGGTGTCCATTGGCTTGACTTTAGATTTTTCTCCAGTCTCATCGTCTGCATCGCTACCGTTGTGACTGCGAGGGAGGGGGAGGTGTTGAGTATCATTGTTATTTAGGAAATGCAGGATAGCATATGATTTATTTACCTTAACTTGTACTTCAAGATGACCATGTACTCCTATATATATGCTCACGAGGCTCAAGCAATACAATAACGACTCTACCAATCCCTCCCTGACCCTTCTAACACGTATTATATGGGAAAGAATTGGAAGCATGCACAAGAACTCCATGTTATTAATAAGAGAAACAAACAGGTTAAAATTTCGCAAATGTTAACGCCCACACGTGTAACACGAAGCAACATGGCCCAAACGCCTCCAGTACCATTCATTTTGCCACATCAAAACAGATGACATCAGCGGAATTTTTTTTCGTTTCGGCTTAAAAATGTTTTATCTCCTAATTAAAAATTCCAGTTAAAAATCTGTTTTCACCATTAAATTCGTCTCGACGAGATCTTCAAAACTATATCTCATGTTGATATGTTTTGACGAATTTTTTTGGCCAAAAATTATCATGATGTTTACACTGTAGTTGCCATAGTATTACACTAAAGTTGCCATGTGACAATTTTAGTTTATAGAGCACGGCAATTTTAGTATTTTGACCATGGGAATTCCAGAACTTTGACCATGAAAATTATTTTTTGTATGAACCATGGCAATTTTAAGTGCATGTATCATGGAAATTTTAGTTTATGGTTCATGGTAAATCTAGTTTCTTAATTCTCTGTTTTATAATGTGTCAAATTTTATTTTTAAATGTAGAAGAAAATAGCTGAAACATATCATGACAACTTAAGTGAAAACACCATGGCAATTCATATGCAATAGACATAGCAACTTTTAAAAGTCGTCGGAACATATTGATATGAGATCTACTTTCGAAGATCTCGTCGCGATGGATTTAATGGTGAAAACGGATCTTCAATCGGATTTTTATTAAAGAGATAAAATAGTTTAAAAACTGGAAATTCAAAAAGATTTTCATATGCATGCATGCGGTGACATGGCGTAGTCTGTGTGTTATAGGGTGTGTGGGCGGATGTCGCTCCCACCACACGTGTGGGCGTTATCAGCGTCCTAAAATTTTCGCTAGACCAAAATTACACTTTTATAAAAGGGAAAAGCTTACCGTCATCCGGCGGATCGCAGCGACAGCGTTTGCCACCTCCCCTACATGACACGCGTCCAGCGAGGGCATAACACCAAACGCGCTTCTACAACAGAGCTATGTTTCTGAAACATATGCGGTGCTGCAATGGTCTACGGCGAGTCATGTTTTACAACAAAACATCTGTCGTGGAAATTTTCTGCAACCAGACCTCGGTTGCAAAAGAAATTAGAACAAAACCTCGATTGTAAATTTTTTTGCAACAAAATAGCTGTTGTAAAAAATTTCTGCAACAAGCCCCATGTTGCAGTGGTGAAGACACGCTCGCTCGCTAGATATGGCAAATCCGACGGCTCGCGACCTGGCTGATCTCGGCGGACGCGTAGCATTGCCTTAGGCTGGTTGTAGTGGAGAGTATCATATACTAGTATCATGCATATGATACTAGTCTATAATACTATATCCTTAATGCATAGTATCATATGTTGATATTATAGATGACTACATTTATTGCCATGCATGACACAAAGTAGCATATCATTTAATATGATACGGTATCATGATATGATACTTAAGCCTCTCTTTCTTCATTTAATCCTATGTTACCTCATCAAAATTGGTTAGTTGGCATGCATGATACTATCTATGATACTCTTATTGCGGGTAGCCTAAATTGATTCTAAATTTTATAAATCGATCAGGACCTAATAAAATCTTACCAATCTATCGAGACCTAGATGGACCCCACAAGAGATATACTACCACATGGGTGATTTCTAAACAATTCCGTCCGTGGGTGCCCACAAAAAATCCAGCAGTATATATGACAGAACTCAGAAGCGAAGCTGTACTGTGAGGCTGGTCACAGTGGGGAGGAACTTAGGAGTAACATCACACACTCCAATACAACTTTGCTTATGTGGCACGTATTTAATGAAGAGAGAGGTGTTTGTGGTAACTAGCTAAGTTACCGGAACATCACACACTCCAAGAAACAATGAGTCTATAACCTAATAAATACATCATTACATGACACTACATAGATGTTCCTACCCACTATGGAGGTAGTAACATAGTCTAGGGAAATATGAAGTTACTAGCTTATGTTCTTGCCCATTGTGACCAGCCTGAACATCATCTTTGGTCCTCAACAAAAAGAGCAAAGCGACGGTCCTTTCCCTCCGGTTCCTCGTTTTTGTAGTATTCCGCCATTCAATTCTCCGCCTTCCCGAGGGGCTACCATAACTCACTCAGAAACAACAAAAGAGAAGACATACTCCTGCGGGAAGAAGCGTGCACGCCGAACGTCGTCACCAAGGCATGGGGGACGCCGCCTCCAACCATCCCGTAAGTCTCTTCCCGTCAAATCTTCTGCCCGTCCATCGGCTCTAGTCGCCGCACGGTGTTCTTGCTTGCCCCGGCCAACTGGAAGCGATTTGGATCTTCGCATGAATCGCTTGCCCTTTTTAGGCTGTGATGAATATCTCTTTGTTTGATTTGATTGAAGAACTTCGGTTTCATCGCCGGTAGATAGGTTCTTGCTTACAGGACAATAACACTTCTGTTCCTTTTCTAGGTTCTTGCTCAGTCGAGCTCCGACGCCGGCCGCGGCGCCGCGACCGGTGGGTTCATCTCCCTCGACGTGGCCGCCCTCTCGTCGCTCGCCGGCGACGGCCCGGAAACGACGCCGGCAGCGCCGCCGGCCTCGACCCCGAGGACACCTGTAAGTCTGTTGGAGGCTGGCCGGCGGACGACGGCGATATGCGCGTCCAGATTTCTTTAGGCCGTCGTCCTAGTGTTTGATACCATCCCTATCTCTAATCGTGCTGTGAACGGAACAGAGGGTGGTGAGGTCGCTCTCGCGGAAGGGGTCAGAAAGGAAGCAGGCCGACGGCGACGCCGCCACTGGCACCATAGGTTAGCCTGCCCAGTTGATAATCTGCCTTCGCATTTCGGACCAAAAATTATTATTTTTTCTTTTTGTATTTCACGAAATTACGACTCAATTGCTACCTTGTATAGCTTATTAAGTGACTAGTGACCAGTGACACTGACGTTAACCGCACAGTTTCGAGTTCTGACAACGAACGGACGGGACCGGTGGCTTGTTAGTAGGCGCTGATGAGACGTTCGGTTTGATCCGTTTGTGTGCAGGAGGCGGGGTAGGGACGGGCGAGAGGCCGCCGCTGTCCCCGCTCTTGGTCCATGTGGCGGCCGCCGACGAGATGCTGAACGGGCACCGGCTGGTGAACACGCCGGGGGGCGCCGGCACGCCGGGAGGGAAGTCCAGGCGGCTGGGGCGGCGTCCGGCGCCGTGGCTGGATCCCCGAAGGGTCGTCTTCCTCTTCGCCACGCTGTAAGAATCTTCTTCCCCTTCCCTTGGTTTAGTTTTTTGTGATGCTTAGATCCAATCACTGAACCAGCCGGCAGCAGAGTGTCAAAAGTGTCAACTAGAACTAGGCAGTGTTGCAGGCTCCTCCCCTCCGTAGTACGCACACGTTTCACTTGGTGAAATGAAATCTATTCTCCGGACATGTTAGGCGACGTAGGGGTGATGGATCAGTGGCAGTACGCTCTCATTTGTCGTCGCCGCTGGCGACTTTTTGGCCCCAAAACCCGCCGTGCTTCGTTGCCATTCATGGACAACACGAACCATCATTAGGCGGAGCTGTTAAGCATTCAGTGAGTGTAACTTGCAAGTTCACTGGCAGTTGTAATACGCAAAGCGAATCCTGTTGGCGTCTTGTGGCGGCTTAGCAGCAGACAGTGGTAGCTAGCACATCAACCGGACCTAGCAATAGCAAATGCAACTAATCGATCTGACGCGACGGCTCTCCTCCAGCTTGAGGAAGGGAGCCGATGGTGGGATCATTATCGGCAATAATTCGCAGCGTCTAGGACGGTTCCGTCGCGACCGGTGATGGTGCACCTCCTGCGTGCGTGGCGTGCGGAAATCCCGCGCAACAACGGCCGTGGTTTCTCGTTGCCGAGTTAATTGCACAGAAGTACCACAATTCGGGCATCACATGCAGATTGGTACCATGATTGCTAATTTTTGCGTATCAGTACCAACATTGGTCTAAGTTTTTACAAATTAGGCTAAAACGCGTATTTATACGTATTGACGGTGTATCTGACCGATGGGGCCCGCTCGTCAGGTGCCGACGTGGCATGTTTTTTGCAGAAAACCCCCTTATGTTATATGTAATCACAAAAATACCCAAATTTTTTGCGGGAAAAAGGCTCCAGGAGAGGATTTTTTTTGTTCGCAATTTCCACCATCGAATCTGGACTGATTTGAAATTTTCCGCCACTTGAACAAATAAATAAAAGGAAAGTAAAAATCAGGCGCCGGCGGGAATCAAACCCGCGACCTGCTGTGCACAGGCGCCACGGGCTAACCAGTACGCCGCAGCGCAGCTCACGTTCCTCTACAGGCGTCTCCTTTCTTATAGTATGCCTGAAGCGCTGGGCCGGCCCACCGAGGCCTGCATTTTTTTTTCGTTTCGCACTTAACTGGCGCGCGTGTTGGGCTCGTTCCTTGCCCCGGTTACTATTCGTTTCATTTCTCTTATGCTTTTATAATCCGCGGTGAACATTTTTTTAAATATACGCTGAACAAATCCTCAAAAAAATATACGCTGAACACTTTTTCTGCTTATAGTGAACATTTTTCAATGTACGATGAACTTTTCTTTACAAACGGTGAACATTTTCTTAATATAATAAACTTTGGTAATATCCGTTGAACATATTTGAAATGCAAATTGAACATTTTTGTACTATAGGTTGTTCAATTTTCTTACGACAAGGAACATTTTACTTAATTCGAGGTAACTTTTTTGTAATTTATGGTGACATTTTATTAATACACGGTGAGTTTCAAGATTATTATGTTGAATATTTTCTTAATACATGATGAAATTTTTGTACTTCACAAAATGTTCAGTATATATTAAAACTTATTGTGTAAAATCAGTTTGCATTTCGAGAAACACTTGATTATTATAATAAAAATTGAAAAGTTTTAATGCATTTCTAAAATTTATTATGATTACACAATTATTTTTAATACATGTTCTGCGCCATGTTTAAAAAATTTAATGCATTTAAAATTATATGTTCAACTTTTAATGCATTGATTGCAAGAATGATTAAGGAACCGGGGCAAAAAGTTCTTGAAACTCTTCATGTATCAAGAAAATGTTCACCATAAATTACAAAAAATTCACCGCGCATTACGTAAAATGTTCATCATATCTTAAGAAAAAGTTCAAGATATATTACAAAAATGTTCGATTTGCATTTAAAATATGTTCAGCGTTTATTAATGGAGAAAGTATTAATCATTCGCAAAGAAAATTTGACAACCTGTATTAAAAATAATTGTGTAATCTTAATAAATTTTAGAAATGCATTAAAACTGTTCAACTTTTATAAGAAAAAATTGACGTGTAGAAATGAAACGAATAGTAACCGGGGCAAGGAACGAGCCCAACACGCGCGCCAGTTAAGTGCGAAACGAAAAAAAAATGCAGGCCTCGGTGGGCCGGCCCAGCGCTTCAGGCATACTATAAGAAAGGAGACGCCTGTAGAGGAACGTGATCTGCGCTGCGGCGTAGTGGTTAGCCCGTGGCGCCTGTGCACAGCAGGTCGCGTGTTCGATTCCCGCCGGCGCCTGATTTTTACTTTCCTTTTATTTATTTGTTCAAGTGGCGGAAAATTTCAAACCAGTCCAGATTCGACGGTGGAAATTGCGAACAAAAAAAATCCTCTCCTGGAGCCTTTTTCCCGCAAAAAATTTGGGTATTTTTGTGATTACATATAACATAAGGGGGTTTTCTGCAAAAAACATGCCACGTCGGCACCTGACGGGCGGGCCCCATCGGTCAGATACACCGTCAATACGTATAAATACGCGTTTTAGCCTAATTTGTAAAAACTTAGACCAATATTGGTACTGACACGCAAAAATTAGCAATCATGGTACCAATCTGCATGTGATGCCCGAATTGTGGTACTTCTGTGCAATTAACTCCTCGTTGCCAAGCCCCCGTTGCACAACTGGTTGGCACCTTCGCCTTCGCCACGGTGATCGAGAGACGAGAGGACGATTGACCAACAACCAGGTCGCGTGTTCGATTCCCGCCGGCGCCTGATTTTTACTTTCCTTTTATTTATTTGTTCAAGTGCCGGAAATTTCAAACCAGTCCAGATTCGACGGTGGAAATTGCGAACAAAAAAAATCCTCTCCTGGAGCCTTTTTCCCGCAAAAAATTTGGGTATTTTTGTGATTACATATAACATAAGGGGGTTTTCTGCAAAAAACATGCCACGTCGGCACCTGACGGGCGGGCCCCATCGGTCAGATACACCGTCAATACGTATAAATACGCGTTTTAGCCTAATTTATAAAAACTTAGACCAATGTTGGTACTGACACGCAAAAATTAGCAATCATGATACCAATCTGCATGTGATGCCCAAATTGTGGTACTTCTGTGCAATTAACTCCTCGTTGCCAAGCCCCCGTTGCACAACTGGTTGGCACCTTCGCCTTCGCCACGGTGATCGAGAGACGAGAGGACGATTGACCAACAACCAGCCAATTTAGTACTCCTACTACTAGTATTTTTAGAAGGATGCCGATAGATTATAAAAGTTACAAGGCACCTTAAAAATAGTCTGAAATGTCTAAAACCATCGTCCACTACTACAACCGCCAGAACAAGCCGTGAAGGCATTGCTCTCGCCGCTTCCCTACAAAGCCGGCTTGTCCTTGTTGATAACAACAGGGAAGTCTCTATGCATGTGTCCCAAAGAATCGATACCTTGAAGCCGCCATCATCACTGTTGAACCCTTTAATAGATCTGAATTACCTCACACCAAATATTGCCATCACACACAACGAGAAATTCCAACCTCGGCGCCCCAAGGAGACTATAAAAATCTATGTTCTTCAGACGGACAAACTTGAGGAGGATCGAGCCCGAAAGATAAATTTGAGGAAGAAGCGCTGCCCATGCAGAGACTAAAAAATCCAAACTAAACTACTAGGCAGAACCGGATCCTAGAAGGGAGTGTTCGCCCCAGCCGTCGAGGAGAAGGGGAGAAAAGGTTCCGTTGATCTGGAGTAGCCTAGTTTAGTACTATTTGTTTCTGATTTGGCTTTAATTCATCCACTTGTGGTAGTAGTGTTTGCACCCAGAGCAGAGCAGTGATAAAAAAACAAAAGGATGTCAGGAGTACCGTTTCATTGGTCAGCAGGTCCTCTCCAGTGATAATCTCTGAACTCCAACTGATTTTTCCTTCTTGTTTATGCAGGTCCAGCGTGGGGACCTTGATTCTGCTCTACTTCACCCTTTCCATGAACAAGATGGACAGCGCCGGAAGCAGCACGGGAGCCGACAGCGATGCACGGTGAAACACCAGCCTCATAGCGCAAAGAGATTTTCGCGTGTTCATCGCAGGGCCGGGTTTTCAACGTGTGATCTGTAGAGATTGTGACGGGGACTGATATTTACTAGAATTCGGGTGAAAATCGTGTGGTGATATGAGAAGGCACAGCAGAATACATAGCAGACGGTAGAGAAAAGATTAGGCCGGTTGAGGTCCTGATGGAGAAGTTTGTGATGGCAGTCCTCCCTTTCTATTCTGGTTTCTTCTGTTATTCCCCCCTTTTTTCTGTTCTCATTGCTCAAAAGAAAGAATACAAGTAGCTTTGGTGCGACTGCGATAGGGTTTTCTCTCTTACACATACTGCAAACATAAGCATACACAAATATACACTGGTGTTTTTGGAATAATTGTCTTTGCCTGGGTCATTTCTAGAAGAGGTTGTACATGACATGAGTGCTTGACTTGAAAGGAAAACTAAACCAATGAACAACCAACACATGACAGCACAGGCTATGATTATTTAAAAGAAGAGCAGTTTTAACATGGCCCCTCTTACCTTCTATCCACAATGACTCTAGTCTAACCGCGGAGTTGGGACACACAACAAGTACCGAATAGTAGGCTACTAGGCTCTATAGTTTCTGATTTCGCCTCGCTGCTGCAGAAGCAGAACACGTTCATACGTCCATGGCCAATACTTTTTCAGGTTCAACAGGAGTGTTGACCTTCTCTGACAGAGAATCATAGACTCGAATTGGAGCCACCCTGCAAGAACACAAAGCATATTCCTTGAGATATTCATTTCAACACATAGTCGTGATGCTATGAAAACATCTTGGAGCATATCCAGGATATTTCAGAAAGAAAACATGTAGTCGGACAGCTTGAAACCATTTTGCACGATACAAAGAGAGCAAGAGGCAATTTATTGACGTAAGAGACTATCTTAAAAATTCAATTTAACTTTGTAGTACCAAACAGAAACAAGATAACAAGAACAAAAACAATGATTATGTGAGAACTCGCAGCCCACCCGTGTTCGAGTCCCGGACTCTGCGCAGTGTGCTCGTGATTGCTCCTCCTATCAAAATATGCCGCCAAGGGCTAGTACTGGCTGGTCTCGTTTTAAACAAGGATTGTGTAAGGACTATTCGTCAATTGAAAGTAGCGCCTTCCAAATTTATCTTCACTTTGTATAAAAAAGAAACAGGATATCAAGTACCAAACAATGATTATCTGATTAGTCTTTTAGTCAGCCCTTAAGCTGCTGCGGCTACCAAATAGCCAGACTCCTGATCAGCTCAACCAGACTTCTGTTACCACAGGTCTGGCTCAAGGTGGCCCTGGTCTGGCAGAGAAGCTACATTTTGGTTGAAGCACATCTCACCAGATATTTATTGTCTACTTTCAGCCACAAATCCATAAGATAAGATAAGTAGTTCAAAAGGCAACCACAAAGTAGAAGGCAGCATACTTCCAAAAAACAAGGGTTATCAAATTTGAACAACTCATAAATAAATAAATAAACAAAGTAAAGAAAGATCACAAGAAAAGAGTAAAAGTAGTGCTAGTGCATGATGTTGTTACTGAAATTGCTTTTAGATGGTCTTCCTATCGAATCTAAGAGTGAACACATCCTTGCGCAAATGAGTGATCAAGCTTAGGAGGACAAATCGTTGTGATGTCCCATGCACCCTGTCTATGCAGAGCTTTTTCAGGAGGATAAAGGACATTGTGGTCCACATCTAACCATTTTATACCGACGGAGAATCCTAGTTCTATGCAAGAAATGTATTACTCTGATTTTCATTTTTCTAACAATCTCAGTTCAACCTACAATTTACTTAACAAACTAAATAGTTCAATAACTGAAAATAATTTAAGGAACAAAAAACTAGAGAACGAATTATACATTTATTTCCTGCTGCGCTATACTGTGAATGCGTTATCTTTCAGATACAGAAGCCACCTAGAAGGTGGTCAGTGGTCACAGAAAGCAGGATGGTAAGAGCTAATAATAACATGGTCAGCTAAGGTACTGCTGACATGGCGCTTATCAATGCACACATACTTTACAAGGCGCGGTAGAATAGATAGAACATGGTGCTAGTACCGTTTTGATATGCGTGGCATGGAGCACTTCTGTTTCCTGTCATGATATATTCTAACAATGACAGCAGCTGTTTCCTCTACGGCTTTTCCAGTGACCTCTGCACGAAAAATATATGGTTATAACATGAGAAAAAACAAATTAGCTCTCCATAAAAGACGATGAAACTGATCTTACGGATCACTGGCCATGTTGGGTGCCGAACAAAAATTTGATTTGCATGGTCGAGCTCCTGCCTCACATGCTCCATTTCAGCATAATTGCTCTTCTGCCCATGAAATCCTAGAGTGCTTGCTCTCGTCTTTCTGATTGCCTGAAGAACCACGGGGTTTATCGTCAACCCAAAGATCTTATCCTGGTCGATCTCAAATAGGGCCTTTGGAAGATCAATACCCATCACAATTGGGACGTTTGCCACTTTGTACCCTTTTTGTGCTAGATAAATTGACAATGGTGTTTTCCCAGTACGTGAAACACCAACAAGCACAATGTGTGCACGGGCAAGGTTCTGTGGCTGAGCACCATCATCTTGTTTGATTGTAAAATCAATCGCTTCAATTCGTTGGAAGTAATCCTCAGAAAGTTGACCCTTTCGGCTAGCAGAGCTTCGTGAAATCCCAGATGGAGCAACACCAATATGAGAAGCTATGGCATCAATAGTAGGACGAAGAACATCGGTGGATGGAACACCCCATAAATCACAAGCCTTCTTAGTTGCCTCAGCCATTGAAGGATCGGCAAGGGTATATAGAAGCAATGCTCCTTCTTTTGCTGCTTGCCTTACTATCTCAATAAGGTTATCCATGTCATCAATCTAAAGAAAATTAGAAGCAATGTGTAAGAGATGCTGATTACTTCCGACAAGTGATATGCAGTTAACTTTTTCTTAGCCCATGCTTGTGCTAAGCTTGGGTGAATAGTGTCAAATAACAGTTTCTGAACAAAGACTACAATCATGGTTTTCGAGTCACGCGACTAGTCACGACTAGTCGTCGACTAGTCGATGAGTCGCAAAAAAATGTCGACTCAACTTAGTGTCGACTCGCGACTAGTTGCAACTGCAGGCTCGACCTTTTCCGAGTCGCTACCCCAGAAAGACTCATGACTACAATCAACTGACTGATTTTGTTCAATAAAATGAACCAATCCAAGCAAACACGTAAAACAAAATAGTATGGCCAACTGGCAATATTTTGACCATGTCAGACCATCTACCTGGTGTAAAGTGCGGCGAATATCAATTTGCACAAATAGAACATATAGATATGCATGAAGCAACTGTACAATTCTCAATTTGCACATGAACATTCAGCCTTATTCAACTGCACGGTCCGTTTTATTTCTTAAAATGTCAAAAAGATCTATTGCGTAATTCATCCGAAGTTTCTGTGAGGGATTTTTCCTCCATTGGAACATATGCGACTTTTCTTCTTAGTATTAGCGTATTTCATGGGCAATACCAACTTTTGCAGAGTAAGATTGATATTGTAGCTTTCATGCTCAAATACTCCCTCTGTAAAGAAATATAAGAGCGTTTCTGTGAGTGATCTAAACGCTCTTATATTTCTTTACAGATGGAGTGCATGATAGTGTCATGCTAACCCAAATAATCCCCCAGCACTGAAGTTCAGAGGCAAACCTTAAATGTAAAATGAACCAAAGTATCCCCAATTAAACCACTCTGACATTGCATAGCAAGCCACAGGGGAATACAAGCTACAGGTATTACAGTAATTCGTCTGAAAAGAGATAATGTCGGTGCACAAATTATGAAATTAACCACAAAGCAAAGTTGCAGGGCTGCCCTGGTATGCCCATAAAATGTTCGATTTCATCTCTAAACTTGAACTCTTCACACAAATTTACTGATGTAAATTCTCACACTTACCCCGTTATATTGAAAAGTAGAAACATCTGGCAAAGCAACTACTCAGGCTGATTGTAATGGGGAGTATCATATACTAGTATCATGCATATGATACTAGTCTATGATACTACATCCGTAATGCATAGTATCAAATGTTGGTATCATAGAGGACTATATTTATTGCCATGCATGACACAAAGTAGAACTCCCCCGATCCTCTGATTTTAGTGGGCGATTTCAACTTGATTGCTGCTGCTGCTGACAAAAGCAATGGTAATATCAATAGAGGGTTGATCAATGCATTCAGAAACTTTATGAACCGGTTGGAGCTCAAGGACATGTATTTGCATGGTAGGAGATATACTTGGAGCAATGAGCAACTGCACACTATCCTGGTCAGGCTCGACAGGGTTCTTTATAATCAACCTTGGAATGAACTTTTCCCCAATGCTCTGTTACAAGGCCTTTCCTCCGCTGATTCAGATCATTGTCCACTCCTGCTTTCAAGTAATGCTCTGTTCAAGCCACAGAGAAGATTCATGTTTGAAAATATGTGGGTACGGCTAGAGGGGTTCAATGAAGTTGTTACTGCAGCTTGGGATAGGGCTACTAAGTCGAGCAATCCGTACACCAATTTGCATAACAAATTGTCCTTCACTGCCAAGAAGCTCAAGTCTTGGGCTTCCTCTCTGCTAAGTGATATTCAGTTAAGGACCAGAATTGTCCACGAACTTATCTTACAGCTGGATATTGCTAGAGATAACAGGATGCTCACCCCCGAAGAGCACACTTTCAGAGGCAAGTTAAAGATGATGAGCCTCGGCTTTGCTGCCTTGGACAGATGTATGTTGCGTCAACGTTCCAGATTTCTCAGGCTCAAGGAGGGAGACTGCAACTCTCGGTTTTTTCACTTGAAGGCCACTGCTAGAAGAAGGAAAAATTTCATTACTTCTATCTTAGTTCAAGACACCGAATATACTGACCAGCAAAACAAAGAGGAGCATATCTGGCAACATTTTAATGATCTTCTTGGCACTTATCAACCCAGGAACTCTTCTTTAAACCTCGAAGCTCTTGACCTCCCTACCTGTGATCTAGCTTCCCTTGACCTTGCATTTTCGGAGGAGGAAATCAAAAAGGCTATTTTTGATATGCACCCAGAGAAGGCCCCTGGTCCTGATGGTTACACTGGCCTCTTCTTTCGCACCTGTTGGGATACTGTCAAATATGACTTGATTGCTGCTTTGAGACACTTCCAAGGGCTGAACACGCAAAACTTATTTCTGCTTAATAGTGCCGTTATTGCGTTGCTTCCAAAGCACCAGGGTGCTGTTAGGCCTCAAGATTTTAGGCCCATTAGCCTAATCCACTTCTTCGCAAAATTAATTGCCAAGATGATGGCTGCCAGACTACAACCATGGATGAACAAGCTAACCTCCCCATGTCAGAATGCATTCATTAAAGGGCGAAGCATACATGATAATTTTGTCTATGTTCAGGCAATGGCTAAGACCCTAAGACAGAAAAAAATCCCCTCTGTTATGCTTAAGTTGGATATAACCAAAGCCTTTGATTCAGTTTCATGGGAGTTTCTGCTTAAGCTACTGCAAGGTCTGGGTTTTGGGCCGAAGTGGAGAGGATGGATATCGGCCCTCTTTTTCTCTGCTTCCACAAGAATATTAGTCAACTCCAAATGCACTCAACAAATCCTCCATCGTAAGGGCCTCAGGCAAGGAGATCCCCTCTCCCCGCTGCTCTTTGTGCTTGTGGTGGACTGCCTTGGAAGGTTGATGGACAAAGCACAAAGGAACAACATCCTATCCCCTCTGGGTAACCAACTTGTTAAACACCGTGCATCTATTTACGCAGACGATGTCATCATTTTCCTCAAGCCTGAGATGCATGATTTTGGGGTTGTAACTGAAGTGCTGAAGCTTTTTGGTGAAGCAACCGGTCTCATCACTAACCTGGCTAAAAGCAAGATCCTTCCTATTCGGTGTGACGGCCTTGACCTTACTCCCCTGCAGCTGGCTCTTGGATGCCAGTTGGCTAGCTTCCCCTGCACTTACCTTGGGATGCCTCTATCTGATAGGCGGTTGAAGCTCATTGACTTCCAAGACCTGCTTGACAAGTTAATTAAGAAGATTGCGGGTTGGAAGGCTAGGTGGATCTCCTCCACTGGAAGAATGGTACTCGTGAGGTTTGTACTTTCGGCAATGCCAATTTTCATGCTTCTGGCTGTTCATCAACCGAAATGGGTCATCAAGCAAATCGATAAGCTACGTCGTGCTTTTTTATGGTCTGGCTCTGATGCTGTCTGCGGTGGCAAGTGCCTTGTCCGCTGGACCCAGGTGTGCTCACCCATCTCTGTAGGCGGGCTTGGCATCCATAACCTTCAAGCTCAGGGGCGGGCGCTTAAAGTACGCTGGCTTTGGCAAAGCATCACAGATCCGGATAAACCATGGCAAGGTCTGCAGCTCCCTGTTGACAAGCATGTTCAGGCTCTTTTCATTGCTTGTACCTCCATCAAAATTGGTAGTGGTATTAAGATATCCTTTTGGCACGATCACTGGCTCAACGGTGAGATTCCAGCTGTTTCGTTTCCTAACCTTTTCAAGCATAGCAAAAACAGAAGAATATCGTTGGCTGAAGGACTCACCAATAGAAAATGGGTCACTCTTCTCAAGCGCAACCCGGGCACCGAGGTGTTGCGCGAATACATTGACTTCTGGCACAGATCCAGTGTGGTCACTTTCTCCAACCTGGAGGATGAGTTCATTTGGAAATGGTCAGCGGATGGAAGATATAATGCTAAGTCAGCTTACCTATGTCAATTCTGGGGCAGGATTGATTCTCCTCTTCCTGAGATCATTTGGCATATCAAGGTTCCACCAAGAATAAGATTCTTCAGTTGGCTCTTTGTACAGGGCAAATGTTTGACTGCGGACAACCTTGCGAAGCGAGGTTGGCCTCACAACCCGATCTGTCAATTATGCCACTTAGGGTGGGAGGATGGTCTGCACCTTGTATCTAGCTGCCCCTTCACGGCTGGTATTTGGGGCTATTGCCTGGCGATATATAATTTTCCATTCAACCTCTTACCTATTGCTCATACTGGCTCTATATTGGACTGGTGGTTAAAGGCTCTGGATCGTACAGGCAGGAAAAAGGACCTATCATCACTTATAATGACGGTGTCCTGGCAGGTTTGGAAAGAAAGAAACAGCCGCATATTCAACAACAAGGCAAACCATTTCCTGAAGGTCGCTGAGAACATTATCAATGAGCTGAATTCTTGGAGAATCGCTGGATTCAAAGGAGCACAATGGACAGGCGCGAGATAATTTCTTTCTTTCTTTCTTTCTTTTTCTAGTGTACATTTGTATAGCTTTTCCTTCCCCTTTCTGGCCTTCAGCCGTCCTGAACCTTGACCTGTATTTCTTGGGGTGTCTCATCCTATCTTAATGAATGAAATCAGCACAATGCTGTTTTTCGTCAAAAAAAAAAACAAAGTAGCACATCATTTAATATGATATGATACTCAAGTCTCTCTTTCTTCATTTAATACTATGTCACCTCATCAAAATTGCTTAGTTGACATGCATGATACTATGTACAGTAATCAGTAGGAAACCGAAATCCCGAATTTCTAGCGAGACTACAGGCATTTCGTAAACCAGACATCGCACTGGAGCGCGGGGATCAAATCCAATGTCACGAATTGAGGTAATAAAGGGCAGCGAAAATGACGGATGTTTACCCCCGAGAATAGGTGGGTGCTTGTGGCGCAGCGTCGGTCCACGAGGCAGTGCTCGAATTGCCCGAGCACGGCATTCACCGAGTGCTCCAACGTCGAACCCGTCCCGTCCGACACCATGTAGATCGAGTTCCCCGCTGCCTCGCTCCCGACCCCGACCACCTCGTCACCATCATCGTCCTCCTCCTCCGTCGCCGCGGCCTCTTCCTCGGATGACGGCGGCGACTTGGTCCGCACCGAGAGCGCCGCGGTCGCCCGCATGGCCGGCAGCTCCAGCCTCCGCCCGGACCGGAGCGCGCGCGCGCGGGACCAGCGGCTCAGCTGCGAGCTCGCGCGCGAGCGCGGCTGGGAGGCGGAGGAGACCGCCGCCTCCTCTTGCCCGGGCGCGCCAGAGAGCTCTTGGTCCGGTCCCGCGCTTAGAGGCGGGCCGGTGGCGGTGTCGGGGAGGCATGAGGCGGCGGTGGGGGAGGGGCGGAGGCCGTGGGGCCGAGGGGAGGGCGGGAGGAGCACGGACGGCGTCGCCGCGCCGAGCTTGGCGCTCATCATGGGATCAGGCGATACACCTAGAACACTGAGCAGCGTGCGACGTGTGACCGAGAGGAATTGGGTTCGTTTTTCGCAACGTTTTTGCGTGCCGTGACGACTGACGCGGTGGTGTTTGGCATGGCTCCAGGTTTGGTTCGGTCTGCGAAAGACAACGGGCTGATGCCATGTCTGCCGCCAGCTGATTTGGACTTTTGGTGCAGAGATTGTTGGTCTTTTTTTTCTTTTCTACTACTCCCTCCCTCCGAAAATACTTGTCATCAAAATGGATATAAAGAGATGTATCTAGAACTAAAATACGTCTACATACATCCACTTTTGTTTATTTTTGATGACAAGTATTTCCGGACGGAGGGAGTACTAGATCAAGTCTGGCTCATACATAGCGTTTTTTTTTTGCTAAAAAACATAGCATTTTCTTTTAACATTACAAACTTCAGCGTTCACAACCTCCTGAATACAAGCAGGAATACAATTTTTTTGCGAATACGCAGGATGCGTATCATTTTCATTGATAGAGGGGTGAAAATACATGGTAGCAACCATCGTAGAGCATACACTAGGAGGCGCTTACGATGGTTCTAGTGAGCATCAAGAGAAGGGGTTGCTTTGATCCCCAAAGTGAGATTTCCCTAAAAGATTTCACAGTATCCTCCAATATCTTTATGTCCGGTTATGTACAAGATCGCATCTAAAGCTATTGCAAATCAGATAAGGAGTTGTCTTGATGAAGTTATAGGGGAAGAATATAGTGCATTTATCCCTGGACGCTTGATCACTGACAATATGTTAATTGCGCATGAGTATGTATGCAATGAAGAGGAAAGACAGGAGGGAATGCGGTGTGTGCAGTGAAACTTGACATGATGGAGGCTTATGATAAGGTTGAATGGCATTATCTCGACCATCGTCCTTTAATTCTTGACACAGATTATTTTGCTAGTAACTTGTTTAATCGTCGGAATGGTCGTGTGAGACAATTTGAAGCAAAATGGCTGAAAGAAGATACTGTTGAGGAGATTGTGAAGACTGCTTAGGAAAAAGCAAAGTTGGCGGGTATTGGTCCCTCTCTCGCAGCACGGACTAGAGCGGTGCATGATGATTTACATTCTTGGGACCAAATTACTTTGAAAGGACCAAAGAGGAGAATAAATAAGTTTTAAGAAAGAACTAGAGAAGCTGAAACGTGGTCCTGTTAGTGGTGAATCTCGCTCAAGGCAAAAGAAAATTCTAGTACTCATTGGAAATCTTTTGGACCAAGAGAAAAATTTTTGGTTACAGAGAGGTCGAGTGAACTGGCTGCTACATGGGGACCGTAATACTTCGTTTCTTCACAATGCTGCAATGGCCAGGAAAAAAGGAACAATATTAGAAGACTTCTGGATGATACTGCTGTTTGGCAACAAGGAAATGATCTGAAGGAACATATTATGGGTTATTTCTCCAATCTTTTTACATCGGAGGTTTTATACCCAAATCAGGAAGTTTTGTCTCTTGTCCGGAGTAGAGTGACTACTGAGATGAATAATGCCTTGCTCGCCCCTTATACTGCTGATGATGTTCGTAAGGCTCCTTTTGATATTGGCGATTTAAAGGCTCCGGGGCCAGATGGTCTTCATGCTATTTTTTATAAAAGATTTTGGTCCATGCTAGGGGATGATTTGGTGGATGGGGTCTTGCAAGTAGTGAATACTTGCACAATTCCATCGGGTTGGAATGATATTGCGATTGTGTTGATTCCCAAGGTCAACTCACCCGAGAAGGTAACCCGGTTTAGACCTATCAGTCTTTGCAATGTGGTAAACAAAATTATCTCCAAAATGTCGTCGGCGCGTTTGAAGGTTTTACTGCCTGATATTATCAGCCCGACCGAAAGTCCTTTTGTGCCTGGTAGAATAATTACAGGCAATGTTTTAGTGGCTTATGAGAGCTTTCATACTATTGAAAATAAGAGGGTGGGAAAAGAGGGTTTATGCGCTATCAAGCTTGGTATGCACAAAGCTTACGATCGATTCGAATGGCCTTTTTTGAAGGGAATTATGTTGAAACTCGGTTTCCAGGAGAGATGGGTAAATCTTATTATGAAATGTGTCTCTACTGTTGAGTATATGGTACGGATTAATGATGGAGAAACTGAAAGTTTCAAGCGTACAAGAGGCTTAAGACAAGGTGATCCATTATCTCCCTACCTTTTCTTATTATGCACGGAGGGCCTTACTGCTCTCTTGGCGCATGCGGAGGAGATTGGGAATATTTCGGGAGTCAAGGTTTGTAGAGAGGACCCTACTATCACAAATCTCCTTTTTGCGGATGACTCATTGATCCTCATGAAAGCTAATCAACAAAATGCGGAGACACTTAAATCAATTTTGGACCTATATTGTGCTGCATCTGGACAAATGGTGAGCATTGAAAAATCTAGCATATTTTTTAGCCCAAATACGAGTGGGGACATTAGAGAACAAATTTGCTCAATTTTGAATATCATGATCGAAGCTCTCAATGATAAGTATCTGGGCCTGCCTGCGCATGTGGGGTTAGATAAGACTGATTGTTTTCAATATCTGATTGATCACATTATTATGAGAATTAGCGGATGGAAAGAAAAACTCTTATCCACTGGAGGCAAGGAAGTTCTTCTCAAGTCTGTTGTTCAAGCTATCCCAACTTATGCTATGTCGGTCTTTAAAATTCCTAAAAAAATTGTAAAGGAATAACTGACGAGATGTCGCATTTTTGGTGGGGTGATGACGACAACCAGAGAAGGATGCATTGGATGGCATGGTGAAAAATGTGTCCTGAAAAGCCAAGGCGGAATGGGCTTTCGTGACATTCATTGTTTTAATTTGGCGATGCTGGCTAAACAAGCTTGGCGTCTCCTTGAGAACTCAGATTCCTTGTGTGCTACCATTTTGCGAGCTAAGTATTTCCTTGATGGAGATTTATTGAATGCAAAGTTAAAAAAGGATCATCCTTCACATGGCAAAGTATTATGACGGGGGTTATACCTTAAAACATGGCTATATTTGGTGAGTTGGAAATGGTCAGAAAATTGACATTTGGGAAGATGCTTGGATCCCTAATTGTGCTAACGGAAAATTCATCACTCCAAAGGGGCAACATTTGTTATCAAAAGTGTCGGATTTCATTAACCCCTCTTTGAACAGGTGGGATGAGAATCTCATCAGACAGATCTTGTGGCCCATTGATTCACAGTGGGTCCTTGCTATCCCTCTGCCTCTATTTGATATGTCAGATTTTGTTGCCTGGAGTTATACTAAGAGTGGGATTTTTTCTGTTCAATCTGCATATTTTGTTGAGTGGGATTATCAACATGGAAGGAAGCTTCGTCGTACTAATGGAATGGGTCGAACAAACTTTAATCCAATTTGGTGTAAGATTTGGAATTTATCTTGTCTAGCGAAGGTGAATTTTTTTATTTGGCGGACGCTACATGGTACTCTTCCATGTCGTGTTACGCTTACTAATAGACACATGAAAGTTTCACCTTTATGCCCTTTTTGTGCTTCTGGTTTAGAAGACACAAAGCATCGATTGTTTCAGTGCCAAAAGGCAAAAGAGGTCTGGAGAAGGCTTGGCTTAGATAAGATCATTGCTCAAGCTTGTGAAGTTGATCGTGCTGCAGAGGCGGTCCTCGGTTTTTTGTTGCACATGCCTGACCAAGATTTATCTCTTATGGGGTTCCAGAATATTTGGGAGATGATTGCCATTACGTCTTGGTATTTGTGGTGGGAAAGACGTAAATTAGTGCACAAGGAGAGAATTCAAGATGCAAAACATATTTCAATAGGGATACAAGCTCTTACGGCTAATTATGTTGTTGCTTCCAGTTCAAGGGCTTCTATGAAAAGAGAGGGTTGGATTCGTCCCCCGATGGGATTTGTGAAACTTAATGTTGATGCTTCTTTTGATCATGGTCTTCTTAAAGGTACGGTTGAGGCTGTCCTGAGGAACGATAAAGGGAATTTTATTGTAGGGGTACTTGGAAAATTGATCATTGCGTCGATGCTCTAATAGCGGAAGCTTGGGCTCTCAGATTCGGTCTTTCACTAGCGCAATGTGCGGGTTGCAATCGCCTTTTTATTAATTCTCATAATTTGGAGGTTATTGAAACGACGTCGCAGCTGGGTACACATCCCGTCAGTACCCCCATTCCTCGTCAGGAGTGGGCAGAGGCCCTTTGTGACGTACTTGCGCCTGAGGTCGGCCGCGCCGTACTTGCATTGGACGCCCGCCGCACCGTTCACATGGGTCGCGTCGTTCGCCTTGTCCGTGGCCCGCTCGATGCCAACGCGCTGGTCGGTAGGCTCAACCGCCTCCTTGGCCCAGGTGTCCACCTGGGTGCAGTAGAGGAACATGGCCGTCGCATCCTCGAGCTGGTGATCTCCGATGAAATAGCCAACTTGGAGCTCGAAATCACGCTCCAGATGTACCACGAGTGTGTCGACCGCTTGGACGAAAGCCTGCACGAGTTCAGGCAGAGCCAAGAGCTACCATAGGCAAGGGCTGCTGGTCATGGTCTCATGGACGCGTTTTACTTTGTTGAGTCGTTTCGATGTGGATAACTATGTATTCATAGCAATCATAGTATCGTTCTGTTTCAATGTGTGTACTCTGTTTTTTGTTCTTATATGTTTTGTTTCGATGTGTGTATATACGCTTTCCATTCTGTATATGTGGATGATAATAGCTATTCTGATCACGGGATCAAAATAATATCCTGATCACAACCTGAACTTCCCGTGTAACGCGCCTGAACTTCCCTCTCTACGAACCCGACCTTCGGGCTATCTTCGCAACCGTGGCTTCCCCCGCGAATTATTTCGGTCGGTAGTGTTGTCTGGGATGTGACTGTAATCTAGATACTCATACCTGCATCTAAATGCTCATTTTGATTCGTAATTTTGCATTTTGGCGGATTCACTCTCGGGGCGGATGAACTTGTGTCTGTTTATAAGTTTAATGCATTCACTGGATGTTCT